TTCGTACGATATGATATACATAATAATTAATCTATAATTACATATACATTAACAATATCGTATTGAATCAATTTCCATTTCCAAACATTGCATTTCTTATAAATTATAACTTACACGAGATTAAATGGATTCGTTATTTAGTTTGTTACTTTATTTAGATTACTAACTCAAACAACTTAATAAGTTAAATGGACGAAATCACGAAATCACTAATTAAAGTGGTGATGAAATCATTATGCAATACTAATGTACGAATAGTCAAATATACAACGGTTAGATTGAATGCCCATGAAAAACAATGGTTAGATTTTCATTACTTTATTAGTTATTAGTATTACTTATTAAGTTATTATAAGTTTATTATATATATATATACTGATATACAGTCACAGACTCACAGATATATATAATATACATATAGAGATGTCAGATATTGATGTGCATTAACTCATTAAGTCATTAACTATGTCGTATTGAATCAATTTCAATTTTGAAACATTTGCGTTTCTTACAATTTATAACTTATAAGTAATAAACTAATAATAATAATAATAATAGTAATAATAATAATAATAATAAATAATAATAATAATAATAATAGTAATAATAATAATAATTATAATAATATTATAATAATAGTAGTAGTAAACTAGTAATAATAATAATAATATTAACAAATAATGATACTAACAATAATAATAATAATAATAATAATAATAATCCCTCAAAATAATAATAATAATAAATAATTAAAAAAAACGGTCAAAAAGACCTAGAAAAGCACAAAGAAAAATCTAGACCATTAGATCTAGATGAATATTCTGGAATCTACAAAAAAAAAATGAACGGTTAGATGTTGAGATTGAATATAGACGGTTAGATCAACTGAAGAAGTAAAACCTCAACCTAGAAAAAAAAAACCCACTCTATCAGCCATTCAGCCGTTTTACTCACTCATAGTTTCTCTTTCTAACTTCTCAGTTTCTCACTCTTTCGTTCTGAAATTCTCAAGAATCTCAAGCTCAACTTCTCAACTTTTAAAAATCCTAATTAGGGTTTTTGTTTTCGTTTCATTTGTGTTTTGGATCTACATTTCTGATTTCTCGCTTTACATTCTCGTTTTTTTGTTTTTTCAAATCTTCCTCTCCTTCAATTTGAAGGCTTCAAGCCATCAAAAGTTCAAAACTCAAGGTAATTTTTTGTTAATTTTTGTTGTTTTCGTTTTGATTTTTTTCGTTTTTGTTTCGGTTTGTTTATTTAGGGTTTTTGTTTTCGTTTCATTTTTGTTTTGGATCTAAGTTCTGATTTCTGACTTTTCCATTCTCGTTTTTTTTTTTCCAAATCTTCCTCTCCTTCAAGCCGTCAAACCTCAAGGTAATTATTTGTTAATTTTTGTTATTTTCGTTTTGATTTTTTTCGTTTTCGTTTCGGTTTTTTACTTTTTTTATTTAGGGTTTTTGTTTTCGTTTCATTTTTGTTTTGGATCCAAAGTTCTGATTTCTAACTTTTTCATTCTCGTTTTTTTTTTTTTCAAATCTTCCTCTCCTTCAAGCCGTCAAACCTCAAGGTAATTTTTTTGTTAATTTTTTCGATTTTTTTCGTTTTCGTTTCGGTTTTTTTTTTTTAATTTCAAGTTCTGATAATCTACATTCTTGATTTTTTCTTTTGATCTCCAGTTCAGGCAGTTCTCCATCTTCAAATCTCCTTCAAGCCGTCAAAGGTAATTACTTTTTCCTTTTCGTTTTTTTTAATACAGTTTTTCTGTTTTTGTATTTGATTATTGTTGTTGTTCTTGCTTGAATATAGTCGAAATATGCCTAAAATCTGTTGTTGATTGTATTTTTGTTTTTTACGGGAAAATGGTAGATTTGTGCTGTTTTGTTGTTTATTATGCTCGATTTAAAAGTAATGATGATGGGTTGTTCAGATTATGTGGTTATTGGCTTTTTTACCTAACAAAAGACCAAATTGTGTCACTTTCTGCAGTTATGTGCATAAAATAAATGCTAGTTTAGGGCTAGTAAAATAAACATCTCATGTTTATTTATAGGTTCATAATTTCATTGGAAACTTTTGAAAAAGTTTAAGCTTTTCTTATGTATGCTTTTTTCTTTTTGAGGATATAGGGGTAAACTTTTGCCAAAGAATGTTGAGGCATTGGTTACCACCCAAAATTGGTGTCGTGGTTATCAAGCGGATGTTGAGGAAGACGTCCTCCTTATTGATAAAGAGATTGAAGCCGAAAGTGCTTCATCTGCATAACTAGTATTTGTGTCTCATTGTGGTTTATTTTATCTTGAAAAATCGTTGCCCTTGTCATTTATTTTCAGACTTACTGGCAGCATTTTTCAAGACTTTTAAAATCGTTTCCCTTGTCATTTATGTTGAGACTTAAATAGTTAAATGTATTTTGGTACTTGCTGACAGCTTTTCTTAAGTTTTTGTTAAAACAACCATTGCTCAGTGATGTAAATCTGAGAGAAATTTTAAAAAAAACAAAAGCTATAATTTTGAATTTGCTTGAACTTGTTATGAGCTGCTGCCTGCTGGTAGTGCTTTTGCCTTTTGGTTGTTGTCTCTGCTGAGTTGTTATTGCCTATATTGTTGCCTGCATGAGCTGGTTCCTGCCTCCTGCCTCCTGCCAGCTTGAGGTGCTGTGTTGCTGCCTTTTGTGTTATGAATTTATGATAAGTTTTGTTGCTGCTGTTTCTTATGCTTGCTGTTTTAATTTTTCTTGAATCATCGTTGCCCTTGTCATTTATGTTGAGACTTCAATGTATATGTACTTGCTGGCAGCATTTTTCAAGTTTTAAGTTAAAACAGCCATTGCTCAGTGATGATACGATAAACGTAAATTTGAGAGCAATTTTGAAAAACAAAAATAAGTTCCTGCTGAGTCCCTTCTACTTATATTATTCCTTGCTTCTGATAAGTTGCTGATCTGTTATTCCGTGTGCTGGTTCCTGCTTGTTGCTGCTATTTCCTCTGCTCTTGGGTGTTGTGCTGCTGCTTCAAGATTCTGCTCCCAAATCACTCACATTCTCACTCCTCCCTTCATCTTATAATGTATCATTTTTTGCAACCCTAAACTTGATGATGTTTCAGTTGATAAATCTGAAATCTAATCTGGGTAGTAGTGATAGTAGTTTCATTATGTATTGGTATATGTATTGTGAATTTTAATCAATGAAAATGGTGACTTTTTTTAATTGCTTGTTGATATTACTCTAATTTCAATGCTATTTATCTGCTGGATTGTGGTAATGTTATGAAATAATTGTGGCTACAGATTTGGGATGCCTCCGTATTTATTAAAATTCTTTTTCTTAATATCTGGTTTAATATAAGAAAAGCTAAAAAAATGTGTTTTATAAACATTTTAGTCCTCCCCTTTACAAAATACTTGTATAAGAAAGTTTTATAAAGTGATAATGTGAATGATTGTACGCCTTATTGACTAGTACAGTAATATTCTAATGCTTATGCCACTTGTGTAACGCAATCTCATACATCTCCAATCTTATGTTACCTTTGAGGCTTTGAGTGTTATTGGATGATCATGAATATCAAGGAACAATGAAGATAATTTGGGTGGACTAGCATTATTACTGGAATGAAAATGATACAAATGATATATCTTGTAATTAAAATAAATAAGTAATCTAAAACGATATTAATAATGCCGTTGGCCTAGATCTAGGTGATATAAACCTTTGTATAAACCTAAGCCGTTTGATTAGATCTACATTTATTAACATTAATTGTATTTACTATTTAGCCATTTAGGTTGTAAATAATTCAATTTGAGTTAAGCAGTTTGTAATCGGATCAGTTTAAACAGGTTGCGATTCGAAAACAGTTCGATTTTAACGGTTTAACGGGTTATGGCTGTTCAGTTTAGACGGTTAGCGGATTATAACGGTTCGGTTTATACGTGCGGTTTAAACGGTTTCGGTTCATAAACGGGTCAGTTTAAACGGTTAGCGGGTTACAAATGGTTCGGTTTAAACGGTTTTTTCGGTTTAAACGGTTTCGGTTTATAAACGGTTCGGGTCATTAACGGGTTTATAAACCATTCGATTCGGTTTCGTTTCGGTTCGGATTTGCACAGTTTGGTTTGTTATCGGTTTACGGTCCGTAACGGGTTAACATTGAGCGGTTCAATTCGGTTTCGGTTTGATATTGAACGGTTCAGTTCGGTTTTCGGTTTGTATTTATCGGTTTATAAACGGATCGGTCCGTGATGGTTCGGTTCGGTAATGGACGGTTTCACGGTTCGGTTTGAAAAGTCCCACCCCAAATATCATCTCATCTTATGTACATGTCATGTTATGGTAATGACACATTCACACGTACGATTATACATTTTTAGGTGAACATACATTTGACATTGCTTAACCAAGTGTGATATTCCATACAATTTTTACTATATACGAATTTTATCGATAGGAACTACTACGGATAATGATAGAAAGGTAAAGTAAATGAGATAAATAACTTTAAAAGATTCAGACAGAAATGAAAATGTAGCTAAAGAGAATAAATTAACAATTATTAATGAACAACTTCTTATTTTGATTTAAACGGCTAGGAAATTAAATTAATTGATAAAATAATATATAAGTATTATTAACTAACTTCTAATACAGAGTACTCCATAATTCCCTATATCCATAAATGTAGGCTGTTCATACAAAACTTGACATTAACTAAATTAAATGTAGGACTACTAAATAGAGATTAATTAGCTCTTAATCACAAGATTATAAACCAACTAATCAAAATATACATTAAAAGCTTTGCAATAACATCACCATGCTTAATTTAAATTGTGCAAATTTTACATCGAACTGACTGTGAGTTATGGAGGAGGAAATTAAACATAATACAATAAAGTGAATAAACTAATTTTGAGGAAATTATACATAATACGAAATACATTAAACTAATTTTTAAAAAAGAAAAAAGAAATCACAATGATATTTACTCATATATTACAATGGTATAGTGATCACTATCATCGTGACTTCACCATGCAACGATCAAAATTTCAAACTGACTTTTTAATACGTAATACATTAATCTAATTAAAAAGAAAAAGAAAAAAGAAATCGCAATGATTTTTATTCTTATGTTACAATGATCATGTTCGACATAATATTTATTTTTTGTGATTAAAATTAAGCTCCAAAACTGTGGATCTCAGCATCTTTATTATTGATAGAGTTGCGACGTGCTGATTTCAAAACTGCTTTGTCAGCTACTATGAAGTATGCTGCTCCTGCCGCTGTAATTAATCATCAATAACCAATTTCAATACATTAGCAACGAACTTAATTAGTAATTCACACAAAATCAATTCAATACATACGTTACGTGTAACAAATTGATACACACGTACAGTTGCGTATGTATACAATGAATTAAGTGTTTAAATACCGGTTGAAATAATAAGAGCTTGAGCAGTGTAGTTGAGATTTGCCCTTGCCCATGGAAACCTTCTAACACTTGCTATCTATAAGATTATATTGCACATTAAAATATCAATTTATTATTACTATGTAAAAAGAAATGACGAATTAATCAAAGTATAACTATTAACCTATATATATTCTGAACAAATGAATAAAAAATTAAAGGAAAATAATTTTCAGAAACAACTCACGGTTGGGATGGCTGTAACTACTCCAGCAATAACGGCTGCCTTTGCTCCAGCTATAACACCCTCTGTATTTATTTATTTCTTTCACATGTTAGAAAATCACATGAAATTTAATTTTATCATAGTGTATAAATCTAATTTCATTATCCAACAACATTAAATAAAACTCGAACTTTAGACTTATGTCTTGATTTATTCATCACTTTTTTAACTTACTTCATTTATATAAGTTTGGTTAATTATTTGATAAGTTCAAATCAATTTAGACAGATAAAAATTAAATTTACACAAACCTCGGCTTGCTAATAGGGTTGCAACTATAATTCATTCTAATAATATACGCGACGTATACTTCATATAAACATAATAAATATACAAATTAAATGTGATATCGATGACAGCTGAGAGTAAAGTAAATAAAATACCATGAGAGTATTGTTTGGCCATGGCTAGCCTCTGGTCAGTTGTGGACTCTGTAAGAGACTGTTGATCAATACCTTTGGCCATCTAGAACAACCTAGAAGATTGGATAAACTTACGTTTGATTTATTTTATACGTAAACCTAGCTTATTTAACTTAGTGGTAAGTAGTTTTTGTAAAAGCTTTTGAACGAGGGAAAAATGATGAAGACTGAAGAGCTAGAGGTAGTATGATGTATATATAGAAGCAAAATTTGGCCTCCCTTCTTTTTTTTTTTTTAATTCATTTTATTATTTATTATTTATCTTATATTGTTTTAGTACTAACTTGGCCTGAATACTAGTTAGAGCTTATGAGTTTTGACTACAAAATAATTAACAATAAGCCCTCGTTTTTATTCACTTTTAGATTAAGTTTACAAAGCAACTTATATTTTGTTGCATCTATTTATATATAAGAATTATTACATGTGAATATGTGATGTGAAAGAAAAATGAGGTTAAACCTTGCGTGAAAACTCCTTATCGTAACGTTAATAAATTAGATAACCTACGGGCTACGGCCCTCTCATTTATCAAAACTTTTACCATAGTACATAGAAATTTAACTGTATTTTTTTGCTCATATCATTATGTACACAAATACTACAAGAATTCGATATATTAATTGATGGTATGTTCTCTTCAGCTTAATTTCAGTTCAGTTCCTAATTTTCTTCTCATAAATAATTAAGTTTAGCTCATTTCTGAAAATCAGAACTAACAAGCCTTAATTAATTACTCGATCATTTTACAGTGACTTAATGAGCGAATGTGATGATCAAAATAGTAAATTTACTAACAATTCATTACTAATTTAGGTAAGTTCACTTAAGAATCTTATCATGTTAAGATTAGAATAGGCCCAGTCTATAATAACTTATTGTAGATCCAATCTTCTAATATACCATACAAATGTGATTATCTCATACGAAATGTGATTATATTACTACAAAAGTGATTATATCATCTGAAACTGTTAGGTAAATGTATCACTCAAACAGGGAATTTATCATTATAAAAAGTATCAAATAGTAAATTACATTCATTCAAAAGATGATTTTTAAATTTTATCATCCTAAAGATAATTATATAATCTCATTAAATGATTTACTATGAGATTATATAATTCAAAATATGACTCACAAAAAGGATAATTATATCATCTAAAAATGTGATTATATCATCTAAAATGTGATTATATTATTTGAAAGTGTCAAATTTTGGGTCTACAATAATTTATTATAGACCGGGTCCATACAAGACCAATTATATTTATCATATATAATTACATACACCTTATCCAAAAAAAAAATCTATTTTTATTACTTTTCGTTTCTCAAGTTAAAAAAACAGTTCTTTCAAAATAAAATAAAATAAAATAAAATAAAATAAAAAAGGTAAAAAGACAGTACAGCTGTACAGAGAAAAGATGGATAACTATTAACTAATACTTCGTATAAAAAGGAAGAGTAAAAACAATGGGTAGCAAATTAAATTAAGAAGCTTTGGATCTATCACCCATCATCATCTCCTTTGTTATAGCCAAACCCAACACGTGTCAAAATCAAAGGTCCATGATTTTTGGAATTTAATAACGATTAATTGTAATATTATGGATATTGGGTGCACACCGTTTTGTAGCTAGTTTATAATAAAACGGTACGTGTTACAAAGTAGTACGTGGTGGTTTCAGTATGTTTCTGTTGCTATGTTTGGTGCATACTCCATGTTCATGTCCTTTTCATTATCCTTTTATTTTCTAGATTTTTTTTGGCAATTTATTACTTTTGCTTCATTTTCTGATCTGCTCCCACCGCTCAATCTAGTTGCCGGCTTGCCGTCAAGATATATAGATAATACAATCACAAGATTTTATAACGGATAAAGGCTTGTTTGGCATCATGGTAATTTCATGCTCATTTGATTTTATTAGTTTTGGTTATAAATTTCTCAAATACTTATATAATTATTTAGTCATATTATACCTGCATATAGGGCATCTTTTCTTCAGCTTAATTTCGATTCGGTTTAGTTCCTTAACTATTTCCTTCTCTCATAAACAATGCAGTTCAATTCAGCTCACTTCACTAAATAAGAACAGGCCCATAGATCTGAATAATATACTACATACATATATACATTTACAAGCTAATAAACTCGATTTCATTAGAATTGTTTAGCTTATAAAAAATCTTATAGTGACAAAACATGGTTAAATACTTTCTAATTAAAATTTGTATATATCTTGGCCTTCTAGCTTGATCCAAATCTTCAATGTACCTAAAAGCTTTGTTGAATCAAAATATAATCTTTCTTGATTTGCATTCTAAATTCTAATATCGGTATAGTTGTATAGACAATGTATAAAGGTTTTATATTAGCACGGGCACAAATTTATGAATATTTAAATAAAAATTGGGGAATATACTAGCTCAATTGATAATCCAAATTTCTAGCTCTATAATAATATTGGTCGATGAATACCCTCATCTTTATCACACTAATTAGTTGTGAGCTCAAGTTCAATATAATGCATCCATGCTTGAAATTAAAGTAAAGTTGAGACTCATGCTAATTAAGATATATTGAAGTACAAACTCCATGTTTATAAGTAATAGTACATACTTATTAATATTACATAGGTATGGATTAGATATAGATGCATGGTACTATTATAATTGCTATATTGCACCGCAATTATTATAATCATGTAATCTTAATCATATCCTAATTAGTACAATCAAATCTTTCTATGCGATCGTCAAAATCATAATCAACTTGCCATCATGATCATTTTCATTAATTAATTAATCATATATGGCAATATTATAGATCATACAATTTGAATTGATTATTTCAAATTTATTATAATTATGCTCCAATATTTGGATTTCTAGCTTGATTAAAAGAGTTTTGACGTGCCGACTTCAGAACAGTCTTGTCCGCTACTATGAAATATGCTGCTCCAGCCACTGTTTTATCAATTAAATTCAGAATTTTAATTAAGTGCCAAGAAAAAAAGAATTAAAATTCAATATAAAATATAATAAGAAATTTGAAGAAAAAAAATCTTTGATTATATATACCAGTAGATATTATAAGAGCTTGAGCAGTGTGACTGAGATTGGCCTTTGCCCACGGAAGCATTCTAGCACTTGCAATCTGAAAAGGTATTACATAAAACTCTCTTATTTAATATGAAGCGAGGGATAGAGTATGCTAATCAGTTAATCTACGAAGAAGTAACTTTTTTAGCGCATGCACTTCACATGCTGATGCACTATATGTACATACAATGCATTAGGTGAAAGGTATTGTCGTGAATATTAATTGTGACTAATATTGTTAAAGATGATTATGCTTTAATGCACGATCGATGTGGTTACGTGCTAGAGTGATCAATGTATGTACGACTAGTTGCATAACGTAACGTGTGGTTAGGCCGGAGGAGGAGGATTCGATAATTAGCTAGAGAACTCACAGTTGGTATGGCAGCAGCAAAGCCAGAAACAACAGCTGCCTTAGCTCCAGCAAGTACACCCTCTGATATTCAAATTTTCAAATTAAAATTAAAAACAAGAAACAATTAAACATTTATAAGCAAATTATACATTAATAATCTATTTGAAGAAATAGTAAAAAATAAATTGGCTAATGGGCCCAAGGACTTTTAGGTAAAGACTAAAGACCATAGAAAAATGAGTCCAAATAGTTTCTTGGGTCAACAAAATTAAGGTTTTTGGACCCAACAAAAATATTATAGAAATTTAATTTGGACCCATCTATAATTTTAGTCATCATAAAAAGGGCTCTCTTAGTTTATTCAATAATGTTATAATTAAATATACTAATCAACTTTAGTTAATCAAGTTTCGTGCATGCTACAGTAATTTGTTTCTTAGGAAGTGTGAAAGACGAAATCTTCATAAAAATAATTAGAGGATCATCTAAAACACCATCATTATACCTTAGATTCTTACTCTGTAACAAAATATTGACTCATGCTACAATCTTATTATGTTTTTCCATTTTGGAAAATCACTCTTTTGTCAGAAAATCAATGAGCACCCTCATAAAATAACATTATAATTTATAAAATATGTTAAACCGATTCATCTATTCTAGGACGAAAGGAGTATATAAAGACATTATAAAACTGCAATATATATACATGTATATACCATGAGCGCAACGTTTGGCCATAGTTAGCCTTTTATCAAAAGAGACCAAGGTAGACCTCTCTAAGGGTGATTGTGCAACATTTTTAGCCATTGTAATTTATAGGATATAAGAAGAAAATAATTTGGAAATGTGATAATTTATTGATGAGATGAATATATTAAGAAAATAATTTGGATGAGATAAAATGGTGAAGAAAAATGTGATATTTATAGAAAGAAATTTAGTGGGTGAGAAAAGTGTGTGACATTTTAAGTGACAAGTTTGATGGTATTACTAGAAATCTAAGTTCCAAGAAATAGTTTAGTCCCGTTGTTTTTCCTTCAATTGGATTTGTGTTGTAGTCAATTGATTCCTCTTGTCTTAACTTTTCTTTATTTTATCCAATAATGCTCATTGTGCACGAGAATGTTGTAATTAGTTGGTTGTGCTATCATGTGTAACATTGCAAGTTTAAATAGCTATATATTGAAATTACTCTTCGGATTCAATAAATGAAGTAATTGCAACACAAAAGAAAAAAAAATAAAAAATGCTCGAAATAATTGTTACAATTTGTAGCCTAAATCAATATATCAAAATGCTTGTCTCACCCCTTTATGCCCCCGCTAACTTGTAAATTCGTGAGACTGTGTTTTCTTTGTTATTTTAATTGCAATGATTTGCCTTTTGTGTTTATGTATATTCTTTCTCGATTACATAATCTTTAGTAATTTACATCTAATGTAAATTTTGTTACACCCGTCTTAATAATATATACTAATCAATGTGATTTTGTTGTGCTTACCTCACTAATAATATGTGTATTATGGGTGAGGTATTGAGTGAGATGGGCATGTATGAAGAAAAACACATATTGGAGGATGAAGTTACATTGCTTATAAGGATAACTTTGCCTGTCAAATTTCACTACATTTATTTTCATTATCTTTGTTTAAAACCGCCTATCAAAAAAACCATAAGTTCTTTTCGACCTAAATTATGTTTGGGAATTTTATATTTTGTCTAGAACACTCTCTATCTCATGGTTGGTACACTAAGACACGGTTGATGGTTTTATGGAATTTGTCAATGGTTTTCACATGATTTATTTTCAACCTTAGTGGGTGGCAAATGGCCCTTTTTGATTATCGTATACCATTTGTTGGACCATAATATAAACTTAATACTATTGCACACTTCACTTCTTTTTTATCCAATTATAAGCCGATTGTTGGGCCTTTTTTATTTTTAGCAATCCTCTTTACACCGTTTTAAGACGGTGCTTAGACTCAATATCATAAAATACTAATTTTCTAACTTTCTCAAAATAGGCAATCTCCAAAGTTAAGTAGAAGATCTTCCTTGCTATATAAATTACTAAAATTATTCTTGTTTCAATATCCCTAACCTATGGATCAATGTTTCATTGTCCTCTTAACTTCTAAGTCCTAACTACCATGTTTCAATATCTTTGTAAGTGAAATACAAAACATATAAATGAGTATTTTGTGTGATCTATATGAATTGATCCCTAGGATCAAGGATTGCCAAACGATAATCTTCCTTTTGCCCATATATTCAAAGTTTGTATTATTTGCAACTTGCAAGTGTTACAATATGACTATGTTTATTTGGTGATTTATGCTTAATATAAGGAATAACATTCATAAAAAAGTATTGTACAATATTCATATTTAATTATGTCAATTTATGTTTCGCTTTTTATAAATATAATGTTGTAAAATAAGGGGAAAGATGAGAGAGATTGATAGAGAATATATCAGTGTATTTCTATTCCATATAATGGGGTATATATAAATACAATATATTAGGGTTTGAATGGATAAGAATGTAAACCCTAGATCTAGATTGTTCCGGAATGATACAAAGGAGGATAATGGATATCCATAAATATTTCATAACACTCCCCCTTGGATGTCCATTATCGAAGATTGTGCCTCATTAAAACCTTACTACGAAAAACCCTGTGGGATAAAAACATAGTGGAGGAAAAAGAGTACATCATTCTTCGTAATACGCTCGAGATGCTGCCTCATTAAAAACCTTACCAGGAAAACCCAATTTGGGACAAAACCATGGTCAAGGGAAAAAGAGTGCAGCGCGTATTTTCTCCCCCTGATGAATACATAACTTGAGATCTTCTAATGTCGCAACAATGAATCCAATATGTTGGATATCTTCTAATAAGTTGGTAAAATATCATTTGTTGATCTTCGACTCTCCTAAGCTGAAGTTGCATCTTCAATTCTTCAAGCCTTCACGTGAACATGTGAAGTGTCTTCATTTCACCATATATGCATGTGTTTATCTCTAATATCACCATTCCAAATCTCTATTTAATAGTTGATTAAAAAGGATAAACTCATGCGGTTATGACTTCTTCTAGAAGTCGTTAATAATAAATATTGGTGATCATTATTTGATTTAACATTCATTAATAATAATTTGATGACAAAACTTGATATTATTAATGTCATCCTTCAATCTCATATGAATTATAATATAACATATGTAATTATGTACGCTAATCATGATTCTTCTGGACCATGAGAAAACATTCTCGCGCATAAGTATTCCATTGATATTATTTAGATGTTTCATGATTGACATGATAACTCTCTTGTAAATACAAATAGTAAATCTTACCAACTCTCATATGCTCAAACTTCAAGTTGAGATGTCAATAATGTAATCACATAGACTTTTCAAGAGTTTGATAACAATTGCAATATTCAAGACATAAAAAATTGTAGGGTTGGGCATTTAATACGTCGTATATAAGTTCTTCAGGAACTCTTTTTACATAATTCATAACGTGCAATTAAATAAGTGTCATCAATAATTTCATTACAATTATAAGCCCATTGGAATATAAATATCTCTTTCTAATTTCTTCCCAAGATGCAACACAACAAGATAATTAATAATGAGCATAATTTAGCGCATTCAGTATACAACGAATTAATCATTAACCTAAGAAATCAACAATAAAATTTACATATTGATTAGAGCTTTGGTGCTGATAACGTGTTGTAAAATAAAAGGAAAGATGAGAGAGATTGATAGAGAATATATCAGTGTATTTCTATTCCATATAATGGGGTATATATAAATACAATATATTAGGGTTTGAATGGATAAGAATATAAACCCTAGATCTAGATTGTTCCGGAATGATACAAAGGAGGATAATGGATATCCACAAATATTTCATAACATATAAGTTTAATTCAACCCATACATTAATAAGTTGAATCAAACAAGGCATGTTCTCTTCAGCTTAATTTCAATTCAGTTCAGTTCTGCTTCAATCAGTTCAGCTCCTAATGTTCTTCTCTCATAAACAATTCATTTCAGCTCAGTTCAATTCAGTTCAGTTCACTTTAGTTCAATTTAACTCCAATTAGTTCAATTCAGTTCAGCTCAGTTTAGTAAATCAGAACAGGCTCTTTTAATTCTTATTTAAAGCTCGCATAAATTGGAAACAACATGCATCAACCAATTATATTGAATAATATTACTTTTTATCTTAATTTCGAAAATATAAATAATAACCTTAACTTTTTTATAAATTCAGCAATAGCAATAGGGCTCCGACAACATGAATTCGAATGAGTAGTTAACTTCTTTTGGTCAAAAGGAGAAGCATAATTTTGACTACTAATTATATAATTAAACACGTCAGATGAAATCTAATTAACAAATTAATTAATAATTTCTTGGGTTACATAAAATTTAGGGATTGAACTAACTTGCACAATCTTTATTATAGTTAGGTGGTACTCAAGAATGTCTCCATAAAATTGTGTGCAGTCTGCATTATCAAATCCACTTGAATATTCAGTTTGCTGGAAACTGCGTTTTTATGCTTTACAATGTGGCCATGTAATCGATTTCCACCATATGGTAATCATTATACTCAACTTATAATTATAAAGAGTTTATTTATTTATTTATTTATTTTAATTGAAGGGAAAAAAAAACCGAAAAAATCAACAACTTTAGCTTTACTTTCTTATACTCATTTTTTACAATATAATTACATGCATTTTTTTTTTATCTAAAATTTTCAATTTATAAATCTATCTTATATATATATTTTAGATATAATTATAATTTGAACTAAAACAATCCTTATTATTGGTTGTAAACTTATATAATGGTAAAAAGTTTACACCATTTTCTCAAAAAAAAAAAATTAAAAAAAAAATTAACACCATCCATTCTAGAGTAATTGGCACACATTTTTTTTATATACTAATTTTGACTATAAATATATTAAAAATAATATTATTTTCATTTAAAATATTGCTAAATTAGTGTGTGTTCTATTCACCTGATTTTTACTTATCTGAACTTATCTGAACATAACTGAACTTATCTGAACTTATCAACCCTTATCTGAACTTATTACACCTTATTAACACTTATTTTCACTTATTTGACCTTATTAAACCTTATTAACACTTATAAGACTTTATTAGACATTATTTGTCATTCTTGAAACATATTGTGTAACATATTGGTAATATGAGTATATATATATATATAACAATATATTAAAATAAAAGCAATAAAATATGAAAATATTAGCATTTTTTAATATATTAAACTTGTTGATTTGCTTAACTTTTATATAAGCAAAATTTATCTAGTTTGACCATATCTTAGTTACTTTAATTTTATTTTTTATGCAAATGTTACTTTATTCTTATACGAAATCATGATAATAAAACACATAAAATTTTACAAAAAAAAAGTGAAAAGCAATCTTGATTAGTAATAACTCTATATAAATATAATAAGTGGAAATAAGGTGAGGAGAACGTTAATTTAGAACTTATTAACCCTAAACTTATCTGAACTTATTAACCCTTATCTGAACTTAACTGAACTTATCTGAACTTATTAAACCTGAAATAAGTGAAAATAAGGTGAACAGAACAGACCCTTAGTATTAATATCGAGATTCAAAATAGCAGCAATTAATTTTTAAACATATTTCAAACCATATATTTAATAATCAAACTAGTACATTAGCAAGTACGTCAAGTTTAACCATGTCGAAAAAAAAGAACTTTTACTAGAAACACATAGATGTTTAATTAAAGTGATTTATTTAAATGTAAATGTGTAAAAATATACATGTCTACATTCTTTGCAAAATAAAATAAAAAAATCATACAAAATATATCTATTTAATTTTGATATTTCTAGCATTGAGTG